GCCAATTCCGTTCTTAGTGACATCATTACCCGCAAGGAGTTGACCCCGTGCAGTTGGGGGAGGATGTCAGTTTTTGGACCCAAATCTGGGAAAGGGAACACAGCCCAAGAAAATTTACATGACTCTCAAGTCCTACACCCACACCCAAGCCCGTCCGTGCACGGGGCTGGAAAACAGAAACCAAAGCATTTCCTGGAGTGTTTGGTTCCTCAGTTTTGATTGACAGGAAGGTACTATTTCGTCCACTTAAAAATTTGTCACTGTTTGGTTTAAAGAAAGCGGTGGTGGGGACCACAATAAAAACTGCCAGCAGTTTGCAAGTTCCCCACATTGTGCCTATGTGGACTAGCAGCACAACCTACCCTTGCTGCCCTTGGAAAAGGTGATCAGTTCCTAACCATCCTGAGTGAGATCGCTGGAATCCGGCCACCCTGGAGGGAGGCTTTGCAAAATCAGCCATCCTTGATCAAAACCTCCTGGGCTTGAACAAAGACATAAACTAGTTGGCGTATTACAAAGCCAATTTTCCCCACCTTTAACATCTTCATTTTCATATCAAAAGCCATGAATGAACACTTCCATTAGCTTCATTAACATGGGTCCTACAATTCACAGGCAGTGATTTTGCTGTTATATCTTGGATTCTGTTATTTCCATTCCAACTCATCTGATGAAGTGGGTTTTACCCACAAAAGCTCATCATTCTGTGTATTTTTGTTAGTCACTAAAGGCATGTCTACACTAGGAAATTATTTATTTCAAAATAAGCTTATTCCCCAAGGCTACATCTAAACTACAGGTGCCTCCAGTATTCTGAAATAGCTATCCCACGTCTTAAAAGCAAGCCCGTTATTTTGAAATATAACAGGCTCACTATTCCGACATCCCTTTAAACCTCATTCCATGAGGAGTAAGGGATGTTTTGGAATAGTGGGTTATTTCCAAATTAAGCTCTCTCAAAATAAGACCGAAAATAAGATATGCAATTTGGTAGGTCAAATTGTGTATCTTATTTCAACCAGTGTAGATGCACCCGAAGGAAAACAGGAGTAGTTATTTTGAAATAACTAGCCCCTTATTTCAAAATAACAGGTTTCGCAGTGTGGACACTCTGCTTGTTATTTTGAAATAACTCCGTAGTGTAGATCTGGGCTAAGGTGCCACGGGGCTACTTATTTTTAAAGTTATAGACTTACACAGCTACCCTTCTGAGACTTCAAAACTTCCTGACTATCCATGGATGGTGGTCCATCCCTTAATCTTTTATTGTCAGTCTTCTCTCTTTGGAGTGAAATCCTGGCTCCATGGCTGTGAATGGCCAACCTCCCCATTGATTTAAGTGGGGCAAGGTTTCATCCATCATTTTTAATTGCATTTTCTCCCCCAAGAAAATCCCTCTTGCAACCTTTCCTTCCCACCTCCTGACCCCTTCCCGTTCCTCCTTAACATATATGTGGTAACATTCCCCAGCCCCTCTGCTCCCTGCAGAAATCAGTAAACCTAGGATCTTCGGCAGGACATTTCTTTTGTGATTATTTTTATTCATGCAGCACTTTTCGCTCTCAAAGCGCTGTACAAGTATGAACCAGCCCTCCCAAGAAAAGTCAATCTTAGCCCCTTTGGACAGACGGGGAAAATGGAGCACAGAGATGCTGTAAAGTCACACTGTGAGCCTCCATGGGAGCCAGCCAGGTCTCCCCACTCAAATCTTGTGTTTAATCCACCTGCACCATGATTTCTGATCGGAACACATGCAGGAGAGTCTCTGCTCCTGTGTGCCTCTGAAAACAATTTGCTGAAACTTTTTAGGAGCAAATTCATCCCTGGCCTGGGAATAGGAGTAAGTTCAGCTCACAAGGAAGTTGTCAAATTAAAAGGACGATTATAGCAGGCGCTGCATTTCAACGTTAACCAGTGCCACTACTGGACGGGTAACGTTATTTGCAGTAACATATAAATTTTAGGCCCAATCCTTGCTCATATTAAATTCCCATTCAAGTCAACAAGAGTTGGATAAAGACACATGGCCAAATTATCTCTTCCACATGCAACTCCCACAGGCCAAATCCTGTTCACACTAACAAAAATTCACTCACTTTAAAGGAGCATTCTATGTGTAGACAGATAGATATCTCAACAAAGTGTCGGTAGGGCCACATTCATTCTTATGTAGCTATCGTTTTATTTCTATTTTTTAAACACTTTTCTTTCAATGTTAATCTTGTTCTCCATTATTTACAGCCCATTTTCTCTGATAATAATCACACTTGTGAAATAGCCATAGAAGAACACCCAGGTTGCTTTTCAAAGGTGCCAGAACATGCAGCTCTCATGGACTCTAACGGGATCTGTGGGAGTTATGCACATCTGATAATCTGGCCAGTGAAGAAATCATTCTTGGTAAGGAAAGATCAGCATCTGCTGTTACTCAGGGAGATCATGGAAAGAAAGAACATTTCATTACCACATTTTCTCTAAACCAGCTTGGTCACGCTTTATTTGGCTGCATGTGAAAATTGCATAGGGTATATTTCCAATAAATAAATAACTATTTACAAATGCGCTGAGTTTACAAAATTGCAGCTTGAACCATTTACAGTAAGAAAGCTAGATTTCATGTCACACATTTCCTCTTCTCCAAAAGCTGAAATGTAGTTTGATCATTCTGGCATGTCAGGAAAAAAAATGCCAAGTGACAGCAATTTCACTTTATATGTACCTAGTTATTTCCACCAAAAAGGGGAAGAATACGAAACACCCCTCCCCGCAAAGTGAAGTCCTGTGGCACCTCCGAGATTAGAATAGTGATTCTTAAACTTTTTTAGACTGAGGAACACCAAACAATTTTTTTTAAATGGGGAACACCAACCATTTTTTTTTTGTCGAGCAAAAAAAACCCCACCAGGCCTGGGAGACCTGAAATGTGCCACGACCTGCCCCCCCTTCTCCCTCCCCACCCCACAAGAAGACTGCCCTAATAACAGTCTGGTACATGGAGCTGAAAACGTAGACCACAAAAAAGTAAGGATAGAAATAAACAAATGTTAAATAAGGTCACGTGTCTGGCCAGGAGGGAGGGCAGAGGGTCTCGGGCCAGGGTGTCTGGCCAGGAGGGAGGGTAAAGGAGGATTGTCTGGCCAGGAGGGAGGGTGCAAGAGGGGACTTGGGGCAGGGTGTCAGAGCAAGCTGGGAATGCAGGGTCTTGGCAAGGGGAGGGGAGTGAGAGGGGTTTGGGTGTGGGGTCTGGGCACGAGGGGAGACGCTTACTTGGCTTGGCACCCTGCTGCAGCAGAGAAAGCCTCTAGGGAGGGAGGGAGGGGTGTGTGTGTGGGAGGGGGGGCTCAGTTCACCCAGGGAACCCAGCACAGCTGCAGCGCCAGGCCAGGCTTCCTGCTGGCAGGGCGGGGGGGGGGGAAATCCCGACCGTCCTCGCCACATTAAACTCTGCCACTTCCCCAGCAGGCTGGGGAGGGGCGCAGAGGGGAGAGAGCAGCAGCGCCAACTCTGCCACTTCCCCAGTAAGCTGGGTAAGGACGCAGGGGAGAGCAGCAGCAAATGGGGGGCAGCAGAGCCCGAGCACACCCTGAGGGGGGCCGGCAGCAAAGCCCGAGCCGGGTTCCACGCAGGCAGCAAGTAAAAAACTGACGAGGTCCAAGAGTGACTCCTCCGCTCTGGCCACTCCTCCCCCTCCCAGCAGCAGCAGCCCCTGTAAAAGCTGTCACCTGCACATGTGGAGGAGGAGGCTGAGCAGCACTGTATAACAGCTTCTTTTAGAGTCCTATCCAATGCTCCCTCTGTTTTTCCATCCATGTGCACCAAGGCATGTGTAGATGTGCACCACCAGGACAAACACATCTCACCGGCTGTGGGCATTGTGAGTGCTCTGCAAATCAGCTGGGCAGCATTTGAATCACTCCTGGGTGGCTGCCCAAGCATTCATCTTACAGGGAACAGTGCTCCTATCCCAGCTCCTGTTGAAGTAAATGGGAGTTTTCCTATTGGAAAGAGGGACAGGCCTTAAAAGCAACATTGTTTAGCCATGACACTGTGACAAAATGAGAGTCCATAGAATGTGCTACAGAATAATGCCTTTGACTTAGCAGACAGCAATGTGCAGTTCCTTCCCTCTCAACAGTTAGAATATTGCTGCATGTTTTTCCACAAAGATGTTGGGTAAATAGTGTCTGGGGTCATTAATCCCTAGTTCAGGCTAGAAGAGCACGTGTAACCCAAAGCTCACTGACAAGGAAATTTACCAACAAAATCCAGTTGTCAAATACCTAAAGCAAACAACCTGGGAACAGAACACAAAAGGGAGGAGACTATTTCCTTGAAAAAGCAGAGTGGGGGCAGCAGAGCCCGAGCATGCCCCGAGGGGGTGCAGCAGAGCCTGAGCACATCCTGGTGTGTGTGTGTGTGTGCCGAGGTCCTAGAGCGGCTCCTTGGCTCTGGCCCCTCCTTCCCCTCCCCCTCCCAGCAGCAGCTGCCA